AGTTAACCATACTTCTTTTGTTCTTAGGACATGAATGACATTCTTTAATTCTGGAATATTACAAGAGACAAAGTGTTAATACTATTATCTTTGCAAGGTTAAGCTTCTGAAGGCAAAATAAAGTTGGCCACGGAAGTTAGTTAGGAGGCTTAGTAAAGTGACTTATCTTGCAGATATTCCTGGTCATGAGAGAAAAATAATTGTTTAGTCACAAACTGCATTAAGTGATATTACTGCAAAGAGGGCAAGTAAGAAAGATCAAATAGGTCAAGTTGTAAGAGTAGTGAAGAATGATAGGAACTGTAAGAGTGAGGTAAATGGAAAGGTAGACAGTTCAAAATGTGAATGTCCTACATTTTGATTACCCATTATTGAAATACTGGGACACTTAGACATCTTATTTTCATAATTAAAGGAAGGACAATGGGAAGTTCTCGTGAGGTTACCAGAAAATTAAAAAAAAAATCTGGCAAGATATATTGGGATGCACTATGTTAGTCAAACACTGTGGATGTAGGGGAAACAGTACTGACAATGCAACATCCTATGCTTAGAAAACAAGCTTAGATGGAAATGGAGATTCAATATTTGCTAGAAAATCACCTGATTGAACCTAGCGAAATCAATTGGATTTCACGTGAGATGATATTTCCTAAACAGGATGGGTTGACCAGATTTAGCAGAGATTACAGAAAAGTAAATGCAGTAACAACGTAGCTTCATACTTAATTCCTTAGTTAAAAGATTATACTGACAGGGTTAGTAAAATTTCATTACTTTCTAAGATTAGTCTATTGAAAGGGTGCTGGTAAATGCAATCAACCCCAAAAGCTGAAGAAATATCAAGCTTTGTTACACCAAATGAGTTATACCAATGTCAATTAATACCATTTAGATTTAAAAATGCCCCAGCTATATTAAAAAATCTTATAAATCAAGACGTAGTTAAAGTGCCTAGCTGTGTAGTTTATTTAGGTGATGGTGTGCTATAAAGTAACCAGCTGGGAGGAGGATGTAAAGCAGTTGGAAGACCTTTTTAAGCAACTGACAGATTAACCAGCTTAGTAATAAATTTGCCTAAATGTAAATTTGCAAAAGCAAGAGTGGCTCACCTCGGACATATCTTAGGCCAAAGACAAATGTTGCCAAGAACAATAAAAAAAGGGCACAAATAGAATTCTCCATTTTTAAAACTAAATTGGAAATCATGAGATATTTGCATATCAGTGAATTTTATTGGAAACTTGTGCCCAATTTCTGCATGATAGCCATACTTCTTACAGCTTTGTTAGTTTTTGCTTAGCAGTTTTTGAAAAACTGATGGCAATCCTAATAAATGAACCATTGTTGGCCATCATTGACTTTATGAAACCTTTGTGATGTAAACCACATGATTTATATAAATGATAAATATCATCTATTGTAAGTTTTAGATTTTGGTTTTTGATTGAGTAATATGTGGGTTTTCTTCTGGAGTTAATAATTAACATGTCAATATTTATTTAGCCATTTAGTGATTTCTTTTCAAACAGTTTTTGAGGCCTAGCTTTAAAATTAATGTATTTTTGTATATTACTAAGGATTTTAGCTTACTTTTGGGTACTTTGCAACCCAGCAACCTAAATAATGGGACTTCAAGGTTTATTAGTGATTTCTTGAACTTTTATTTTAAGCCTAAGGAAAATGCCCAGAACTTAGAAAGAGAAATGTTCTTTGTTTTACATTGAGCATTTTAAGTCCTGCGAAGTACTTTGATGAAGATGGTGTATAGACTAGTGCCTCTGAGAAGGGAAGAATATAGTGAAGCTAGATTACTTTGAAATAAAGAGATAACGCTAGTCCCAGATGAGAAGTGTTGGGATAAAACCCTGAAGAGGTTACTTAAAGCTAGTATGATTAAGCTCAGATATATAACAGTTCCAGAAAGAGTTCCAGTCTATATGTTAAAATCACAAATGACTTAAATCTATCAAGATATTAGAAACAAAGTTTCTGGTATGAGTGGAGCTGGATGAACACAGCAGGCCAAGCAGCATCATAGGAGCAGGAAGGCTGACGTTTCGGGCCTAGACCCTTCATCAGAAATGGGGGAGGGGAACGGGGTTCTGAAATAAATAGGGAGAGAGGGGGAGGCGGATAGAAGATGGATAGATATTTCCTCTCCACCTATCTTCTCCTCTATCCATCTTCTATCCGCCTCCCCCTCTCTCCCTATTTATTTCAGAACCCCCTTCCCCTCCCCCATTTCTGATGAAGGGTCTACGCCCGAAACGTCAGCCTTCCTGCTCCTACGATGCTGCTTGGCCCGCTGTGTTCGTCCAGCTCTACACGTTGTTATCTCAGATTTTCCAGCATCTGCAGTTCCTACTATCTCTTTCTGGTATGAGCAGTGTTTTTGAGTCCTATACAAGGGATGTTTTGGGTACTTTACCAGGGATGTTTTTCAGATACTATACAAAAACTGTTATTTTTCTTCTCAATTTACAAAAGAGTGCTTTGGACTAATTAAGATTGTATTTTAATTTCTTTGAGTTATAAATAGCAGGGTGACATGAGGGAATTTGCAAAATTAATTATGCAAGTTTAGGAAGATAGTGCGAGAAAAATCCCTATGGCTTGTGGAAAGGAACTCTCCATGAAACTTGCAACATGACATTTAGACAATTTTTCAACTCAAAGTTATACGTTTATCCATTTTGGGATGTCTTGTCAAATGGTGGAGCATGATAATTGGTGTACTCTTCACAGTTAAATTGTGACAATGTGTGAATAGGAACAACACAGTGTGGAGCTGGAGGAACACAGCAGGCCAGGCAGCATTAGAGGAGCAGGAAAGTTGATGTTTCAGGTCGGGGCATTTCTTCAGAAATAGGGAGTGGGGAAGGGAGCTGGGAAATAAATAGAGAGAGGATGGGTGGGGCTGGGGAAAGTAGGTGGGATGGTGATAGGTGAGTGCAGGAAGGGAGTAGTAGGGATTGGTCAGTGGAATGGGTGGGGTGGATAGGTAAAGCAGAGGATACTGTGAATATCACTCTAAAGGAGGAATTAATAGAGAAATTAATTGCATAATAATAGACATTGGAGATATTACATTGTTCAGTAGAATTCAAAGTGGAAAAGACACCCAGTTAGGTAAAGCACTTCCCAGTTAAGTTTGGATGCACTCTAGGAGGAATTATAAGGGTGGAAGTTGCAGAGGAGCAAAAGGATAAAACCAGCAATTAAGAGCAGTAATTGATAGGAAAGTGTCCAGAGCTAATAGTTTAAATAATTTGCACTTGGAGAAACATGCCTCATTAAATGAAAGCCAACATGAATTTTTTAAAGGCAGGCATATTTGATTAACTTATTACAACTAAAAAACACTGAAAGAATTGTGGATGCTGTAAATCAGGAACAAAAACAGAAGTTGCTGGAAAAGCTCAGCAGGTCTGGCAGCACCTGAGGAGAGAAACTGAGGAAGGGTCACTGGACCTGAAACATTAACTCTGATTTTTTCTTCACAGATGCTGCCAGACCTGATGAACTTATTACAACTGTTTGATAAAATAATAAGGGGTTGATGAGGATAACCAATCATTGACATGAAATTTCACAAGGTGTTTAATAAAGTATCACTTAATAAACTTGTTAGCAAAACTGGATTAGAGGGGCTGTGGCATTGGTACGAAATTGAAGAAGAGTTAGAAAATAGAGAGCAATGTAGGTGGTGACAGAGCCTGGAGTGGAGTGTGCAATGGTGTCTCCCAATGGTCAGTATTAGGAGGATACACAATAAGAGTTTTCGGATGAAACAAAACTCAAGAATGTAGTGAACAGTGAGGAAGATAGTAAAGGAATTCATAAAGGCACAGGCTGCTGAAGTCGGTGGACAGCAGATGAAACTTAACAGAAAGTGTGAAGTGATTCATTTTTGTAGTAAGGAAGAGGAAAAGCAACAAAAACTACATAACGTAATTTCAAACAGGATGTGGGAACAGGGAAACCTGGGGTTATAGGGTGGATGATTGAAAGACAAGTTGATAAGGTTGTGCCAAATTTGTTTTCTACATGGGATCCCTGGCTTTGAAATAGAAGCAGAAAATGCAAAAACAAAGTTACGCTAAAAAGATATAAGACACTGTTGGGCCACAGCTGGAACATCATGACTATTTCAGGGAACCACATTTTATAAATAATGTCCACGCCTTAGAAAGAATGCAGAAGAGATTTACTGGATTGAGTAAAGACTCGGTTTGGTGGAGTGATTACAGAAATTGGGTTTGTTCTCTTCCGAGTAAATAGGCATTGAGAAAAGTTTGGCAGAAAAATATAGAACCATTAAGGCTTTTATACAATCATAGAATCCCTAACATTGTGGTAAGAGGCCATTCAGCCAATCGAGTCCGCACTGACACTCTGAAGAGCATCCCTCCCAGACCCAGACCCCCCAACCTATCCGCAAAACCCCACACTTCCCATGGCTAACCCATCTAGTCTGCACATTCCCAGACACTATGGACAGTTTAGCATGGCCAACCCACCTAACCCGCACATCTTTGGACTGTGGGAGGAAACCGGAGAATAAATAAAGTTAAACTGTTTCAGTGGTAGAATGGCCGGGAACCAGACAACAGGAATCCAAAATAGTTAGAAACGGGAACAGTTTTAAAATTAAAATCAGAAAAATAATTTGTATGAAACGAAGAGGAGTTAACAAGAAACGTTACTATGTCGGGAGATCAGGATCTGGAATATCAACAAGAGTTGAGGGAATGCTTTAGAATTGTACCTGGGACAGGCTGAACAGTATATTGGCCCTCTCTCGCTGGTAGGGTCGGTCTTTAGGCTTGAGTGACAGGGGATACATCCAATGGGCTATGGAACAGAGGCGGTACCTCGCCCGATCAGCCAATCAATAGCGCAATTGCCTGACGTTACAGGGCGGAGCCTCGCCCAGAAAGAACAGGGTGAGGCAGCGTTAACTTTCTGCTGGGCAACATGCAGCAAGTGGAGAGAAACGTGAGAAAAGTTCTGCTCTCCTTTACCTTGTTGAGTTTCTGTCAGGGTGCCAGCAGAGACTTGAAGATTGCTTGTGTAGAAAGCTGCAAGAACAGTGTGGTAAGTATATACCGCATTTGTCAGGAGGAGGGAGAGCTGTGCACTGACCTGACACCTGACCGCAGCTGAGAACTTGAGAGATGGACAGGCAATGGGCTCTGAGGGAGAGCTGCTGGATTGTAACGGTCTACAACATTCATTAGAGAACTGACTAAGCATTGATTTAGTTGACAGCTGCCGTGAGATGTTTGCACTGTCATGTATGTGTAAACATATCACACCTGCTCTTACCAAATAGTTATGGTAAGTACAAACATGATTACAATCATGTAATTGTAGTTTACATGAAAATACAAGATAAATCGACCTAGATATTATTTTCTGCCAGCTTTCTTTTGATTTTTGCATCCTTCTTTCCAATGAGGATAAATGAATATGAACGCGGAAGGTTCGGAATTCAGAATAGAGCCCCAGAGTGATTCATCTTGTTAGGTTCTGTATGGTAGTGACATTAATTCAGTGAAGAATTTCATTTTGAGAAACATTTATTTCTGGTGTATTGCGGGACTGGCGCCAAGCCTCCCCCCCACCCCTTTTAATTATCTGAGCCGCGGGAGGCTTACAAAATACGTTTCAGATAACTGTTGTTCGCTAAAACGATGCTTAAATTCTTAAATCGGTGGCGAGCAGCAATTCCGAACATTTTAATTCTGTTTAGATTAATCATTTGATTTGTTGTTTGTATACAATTTCTTTTAATGTGGTTAAGTATCCATGCGGGGGAGAAAGGACTTTCCAATCTTGCTTAGACTGAGCTGAGGTGAATGTCTTTATCATTGTGATGTCTAAGCCATCAATAATACTGGATGCTGCCAACTCGCGACTTTTTTTTTCCAGGCACTGTGTTGCACCCAACAGCCATCATCAGGCTCCTGTAATGGTCTTATGTGTGCAATTAGTAAGTGACTCCTAGTCATATCGTGAACCGCAAACTCCCGGGGGCCAAGAAAATGCAAATGAAATCATACCTGACCATCTGCAACACTTATCTCAGAGTTTTCTTTTAAAGATCTGCTCTATGACAAGATTTAGACCTCTTCTACGATGAAGTGATGTAGGACATGCTGGAGTATTGTTTAAACTGGAGTAGATTCTGTTTAGTTTCAATAAGGATGTAACTGCTCTTCAGTAAATATCACGTGTCCTTTGTACGATCGGATTAGAAGTGGGAGAACAGCAGTGGCCTCCCATCTCTTCATTTTGATGAATTAGCACTGTGTAATATAAACGGAATGATTTTACCAACGGGAGCTATCTCTGGAATGTGGCTGCACATTCTCCGCTGTTCTGCAGCATATCTGGGGCATGAGTGTAACTGATGTCGATTTATCTCCCTCTCTGCCAACTCTCTCCCCCTCTCTCTCTCAGACGAGCTTGTCCTAATAAAGATGAACAAGAAAATTAATAAAGCGGGCAATGATCCGTATGATGCACTTGGATAAAATAACTTCTGATTAATTGAGCCCCAGTTTTGACTGTGTTACACTGCCCAGAAACACTGGTTGTGGACGAAGTGAAATGAACCAACTTTATTCAGCCAAATTCTCCACGAAGCTGCTGAAACTTTATCGGAAACAAAATCAAACGGGAGAATTCTTTTCAGTTCAATTACTCCTATTTATAATTTTTAAAAAAACCTTTTTTTTGTAATGAAAAAATCGTGGCAATGACTGAGCGCAGGTAAAAATTGAATGCCATTTTTGTTGGACGAGTGTCAAGTAGTGACCGCATTTTTTAAAGAAACCCTTTTTGAGATTTGGACATTACTGACAAGGATAGCATTTGGAGCCCTTCCGTAGTGGACTCTGAGAAGATGAGGAGGGAATTCCATTATTTCTCCTTGACACTCAATAACAATAGATTACCAAACCCCATAATCAACATTCTGGGAGTTACCATTGACCAGAAACTTAATTGGACCAATAATTTCAATCCAAGATTAGACTAAAAGTTGGAAATTCTCCATTGGTAACTCATGTCCTGACTCCCCAATGTCTGTCCACCATCTACAAGGCAAGTCAGGAATGTGTTAGATCCCATTCCACTTGCCTGGATGAGTGCTGCTCTAGCAACATTCAAGATGCTCAATATCATCCAGGGCAAAGTAATTTGATTGATCTGCACCCCCATCCACTATATTACGCATTTGATCCCTCCATTAAGTTCAAAAATCAATCCTTTCACCATTGTGGAAACAGTATATACCTGTACAAGACACAGTATACTAACATTCAAATGCTTCTTCGTCAGCATTTCCTGTTATAAAGACCATGACTTTGTATTTTCCTGTATTTTTGATTTTATACTGAAATGGGAAAAGAACTATTTTAAAACCAGGGACTGTTGAAGGATGATGGAGACAGTAAGGATTGCAGATGCTGGAAGCTAGAGTCAATAAATGCAGAGCTGGAAAAACACAGCAGGTCAGAGAGCGTCCAAGGAACAGAAAGGTCAATGTTTCAGGCCAAAACCCGTTGTCAGGACTGGGGAGGGAGATGGGAGCCTAGCAGTAAATAGAGGGAGGGGAGTGGGGCTTGGTGGTTGAAGTATATGTACCTCTATAAGATCTTTAATTTTTGTGATGACACTGGGAATAATGAGGCTGATTTCCACTGTGGTAACCCAGTGAGGTGTAACACTGTTTATAAATATCTGACTATAAATATTCTGCAGCTCATTCTTTAAAGTGACTGAGTGGCCAGCTGGAAATATATTAATTTGCTGCTGGTTTTTGTATTATTTTTATCAAATGTCTTGTTAATCGATCATTCACATTGCTCACTTCCTTGCCTTGGTGCTCTTCTTCAAATGAAGTTTCATACATAATACAGGGAAGAAAATCACCCTGAATACACAAATGTTCTATTTTGGTGACTCCTTATTCCACTGACAGAAAACATATGAGGCAAAAATAGTTTAGCTCAAGACACCAGTTATGAGTCTTACTTGCGAAGAAAACAATTGAGAGCTGACCGCCCACTCTGCCCTTCTGCAAGCTCACTCCAAAAAACGCTAAGGGAAACTCTGGTGCAGAAAAATCCACCAATCCTGCAGTATCCACTGCCATCAGTTGGCTGGGCTCTATCGGAGCAGGCCACCTGTTGCCATGGTGACCACAGCATCCAGAACCAACATTAGTAACAGCATTTCCTTCTTTTATCACCGATCTGTGGGCAAATCTGGATGATAGTCACTCCAAGCAAATGCTGGCTTTCTTACTCCATCATATTTGAACAGATGTTGTGGGCGCACCTGAGACATTAGAAAAACTATTAACTTAAATCTCAGTAGCACTTGGGCTAGGTGGTCATATTGAAATCTATGTGTTCCTGTTTTCAAAAACTTCATGACTGGGAACAATTACTTCAACTGCAGTCTTTGTGATGTTTCTGCACCGTCTTCAGGTTACTTTATTAGACCTCCTCATGCCAGATACACCCATCAAATTTTTGAAACACAGATCATTCTAGAATTCCACATCAACTATCCAGTTCTTTTCCATTTGAGCCATTTGCATTAGACACTTCAGAGGCAGGTACAGTGTTCTTCCTACTCCCATATCATTGACAAGACTTTTTGGCATCAAGCATCTCCCCTCAGATAATCAGATTTGAGAACATAAATGTGGCTACGAGTGTCAAGATTCTCAAGGCCCTTGTTTTTTTGTTGAGGATTCCAGACATCTTATTTCGTCCAAACCTTTATATTCCTATTCCTGAATAATAACCTTTCAATGAGTAGGAGAATAGCATTGTCAGGCTTTTCCCTTTTCTTCCTTGTGCTGCTTTTGCTATCATCTTGGATGCCATCTCAAGTGTAGAGTTTAGTCTTGTATAATCCTCAGTTCTCCAAACATCAACTTGGCCATTACCTTCAGAATAAGCCCAAGTCTCGTAAAGAAATGTGTTTCTCCCAAAGAAGAGATAATGTGGTGAATCGTTTGGTGAGGGAGAGGGAGCATTGAGTTCTGCATAAACCAGTTTAGAAGGTAGTCAAGCCACGTTGTTTGTTTTCAGGAGTAATGGTGTGTAACCTGTTTTAAAAGGAACAGTTGAATTGTTAAGTGTCCATGATATCCAATTATAAATAGTTGTATGGTTTTTGACAATACAATACACCTTGTAAATCTCTTGCTGACCTTGCTCTCAAAATTACACCTTTGATCACTGTACATTCTGCATGGAATACCAAAATGAACAAACCATTGTACAGTAGAAACTCAGGCTGTAGTTTAGATCATCTCATTGTGGGTGAGAATTACCTCGTTTAAACCTGAAGATGTCGGTTAGTACAGGAACTTATTCAGCCCTATTGTTGCTGAGGTTGAAATCTCTGGAATCTTTGACCATCTCTACCCTCTGGATCTCATTTCTAAGCACATCAGTGTCCCTGCCCAGATTTTGTGGAGGATTAGAATATGAATGCTATCATTTGCTTGAGGCATGTGCAGAGTATCAGCAGTAATCCTCCTCTAACCTGGCAGAGGTGGGTTCCATTCTATGGTTAAGGGTATCAACGTTTGCATTGCTTTGTCATACAGGTACCTGTATCTTACCTAAAATCAGAACTGGAAGAGGTTACTCATCAATCCTGTGTTGCTCCAAGCTTGACCCACATCTATAAATAGCTGAGTGGGATGTCACAAACTGTACACTGATTCAAATATCTCTGAAGTTTTTGAGAGAGAGCCCACCTCAAAGCTCGCAGTTGGAGTTTCATGCTGGAATAACTTCTTCATACTTTGCTTGTTTGTCTTGTGACTCTGGAGTAGACAATAACCAGCTTTTTCTGTCTTTGGGTTTGACAGTAGGTCAAGAAAGTTGAAATTGATTTTCCAGTATGAAAGACAAATGGGAATCTGTGTAACCAAGGATGGGTAATGAAGTGAGCTTCAGCTTGAACGTGCGAAAGGAACTTTTGCATATTTGAGTCAAGGCTCCTGCAATATCCTGTGATGTATCATGCCTGGTGCTATATTTCCCAACAGCTACCTTACCACT